GAGGGACTTCAGTTCCCAGAAGCCTCAGCCATGTTGGCCAATAGTTCCATGTTGGCCAATAGCTCCTGGGATTCTGGGAGCTGAAGTCCCTCGGCCCTTAAAGGGGAAAGGTTGCCTACCCCTGTTCTAAGATCTCTACACAAACTGTTGTACTCACATGTAATATTACATTATGAAACATCTCTCTCTCTTTGAATATTTTATCTTTTCAAGTAAAATTGTGAGCCAAATATTCGATGAACATTTATTAACACTTATAGGTTGAGGAAGGCCCTTTCTAGAATGTACCTCACTGTAGCTCCCAGCCAGCCTTTTCTGGTTGTGACAGCAGCACGCTTCTGGTTGTACTCTGTAGTTTCCCTCAGTACACTTAAGGAGTTTGGGAAAACACATGGAAAGTGCTGTGAGAACTCATCTATATTTATACATACACCCTACCTAATGCCTTCCATCATGCAACTCTGCCATGCAGTTTCTGGGTTGGGTGGGCATGTGCAGAGTGTGTGAGGGGCAACTTGTATCCTTTGGTGAACCACACCATGCCATTTTGTTGCCAAAAATGCAAATAGAAATCATTTCCCCTCTGACCTTCTGCTATATCAGGGATATGTTGGGAGGATGGGACATATTTAGACATGATCTCTTGCTCCTGAATTCCTCCAACAACAGTGATTGACCAGCTTGGAGAATAAAAAGTGAGGAAAAATTAATTGGAGGACAGGACTTTTGGGAGGGTCAATGAAAAGCCTGGATGCTGAGGGTGAATATTCCTGAGGAGGGCACATAATTCTGAATCCTTCTTCAGAGGCATTTTCCCATCATATGTTGCACTGACTGCCAAAGCATATTTATTCTGTAACGATGACACCATTGGAGGGAGGTGACAACATTAGTGAATTTGCCCTTCTCAAAATATTGTGGCTCTATCCCAGAGCCCTCAAAGTTTTCAGCCTGATTCATAATGAGCTAGACCTCACCCTGTCACCAGATCTCTCTTCTTTCTCATTTCTGGAGGGAAGGGAGAGTGGCACTGAGTAGCCTTCATGCCAGTAGAGCCTTCAGACAAGGACCAGGCCTTCCTCCACTTGCTTTATGACCATCCAGTGATGCTAGGAAACATGAGGCATTTCTGTGCTATCTAAGTTACAATGGATGTTCCTAAAGTGTGTACCAAAGTATTCAGGCCTTTGTACCCGAGTTCTTCAATGCTGTCTGTTCTTTCCGCTGCTGCGGCAATCTCACCAGACAGAGCTTGCAGACCTTTCATTTGGGGAGACTACAACACCCAAAATCTGCAGCTAGCATGGTTGTGCTGGTTGGGGAATTCTGGAAGTTGTAGTCCGCAAAAAAAGGAAGTTTAGGAAACTGCAGCAAAGTAGGTCTGGAAACGGGAGAGTGCTAGTGGAATGCTCTCTTGGATTCAGTTCAAATCTGGTTTGGGTATAGGTACACTAATTTGAGCTGTAGTCCAATTTAGTCCAAATTAATTCTTTGTGAGTCAAACCCATTGTGAATTAAGCTTAGGAAAAGCTGAGCCTTCGGAAACGATTTGTGAAGTAAATTTAAACCATTTTTGTTGAGTAGTGACTCTTGTTCTGTTTTTCTTAGTTTTGCAGTGGATCCTGGGATAAAATGCTGAAGATCTGGTCTGCAGGTATGATATCTGAACTTTAAGTCAAATTTATATCCTATGAGATCTTCAACTTCCCAGCCTTTAAATTTTGGCTCTAATTGCATGCCTGTGCAGTTTTTCATGATAAAATACAATCTATCTCAAGCTTTGCAGTTTAAAATTGCATGCAAGTAAGTAAATAGGTGTGTGTGTGTGTGTGTGAATAACTACTGGAAGTTTACAATGCGGTACAGTATTCTAGTTTTCTACCTTTGTATAGCAATATGAGTTGGATAAATACTTCAGCTAACCATAATAATTGTTAGTTTCAACTGATGTACAAACTAGGCGAGTCATCTGTGACCCACTGGCTGTCTTTTTTCACACTTTCATGTGTGTGAATAACACTTTATGGCCACAACATTTTATGTTTCAATGAAACTATTAAAGTGCCGCAGAAATCCTAAGCAACTGATTCAAGTATGGCAAACTGACTCCATAATCCTACATACATTTAAGCTGTTATCTTGTACCTATGTACGTTGAAGTAAGCACCTTTCAACTCAGTGGGATGTAGTTCTTACCATTCATTTGCTGACATATGCAGGGATAACTGGGAATTATGCTAATGTATGGGTTTTTGGGGGTTTTTTTGGACCTTGAGGAAAGAGCTACCAAGTACCTCATTCCCAAAAGCCTCCACCCCAGATCATAGCAACAGCTTGGTGGTTGCTGCATACAATTCTGTCTCTCTCACCATTAATTGGCTGTAGCCATGAGCCCAGGCTCATTCCAGATGCTCTAGAACAGTGATCCCCAACCTTTTTATTGCCGTGGACCGGTCAACGTTTGATAATTTTTCCGTGGCCCACTGGAGGGGTTTTGCGGTGTTGCATAAAATACGCTGTACAGAAGACGCAGTAGCAGGGCGGCCTGGTACCATTTGTTCTGCGGCCCGGTACCAGGCCACGGACTGGGGGTTGGGGACCACTGCTCTAGAACACCAAGGGAGGAAAGAGCAGGCTTATGCTGGAATGGAGGTTTCTCCTTCTTCTTTCCTTGTTCAGGTGAAGCCAGAACAAACCTGGACTTATCCCCATGGCTGATCAGTGGTTAGCAAGAAGAAGGTGCATCTGGCTGTATCCTAGCTGTTTTTGCACACTAAGGGAAGTAAGCGGGCAGAGGGAAAAGCTTCCACTACCTCCCGTAAATAGACTAAAGGAGATGTATGTTCCACTAGTATGTAGAATCACAGCCATCGCTTTTAGTGGAATTTAGGCCTAAATCCAATAATTAGTCCCATCTAAAGTAGACCTAGAGATTCAGTAGGCATGTAATAAAACAACATCTATGTAAATTCCAGTGATTCAGTAGGTATAACTCTAGATGGGACTAACAGTTGAAAGTAGGTCATAAAACTTTCAAATTGCAGTGCTAATTTATTCTGTGAAGTCACCAATTTAAATATTCAGATAGCCTCTGGTAGTCCATCTCTCTGACCCTATCAGAGCTGTAATGTGTCTTCAACCTGGGTCACTTCAGATACTGTGGACCACAACTTCCATCATTTTAACTTTTGGCCATGCCGGCAGATGTGAGTTGTGGTCTAAAACATCTGAACCCAGCTTTAGGAAGACTGTTTCATGTTTTAATGATTTTTGGTTTAGATTTCCTTTATAGAACACTTGGATTCTAAATGCATGCTTTTGTGAAGGTGAATGAATAGGGAACTTAGATTCTAGCTAAGTTTCTAAAAATAATATAACTGCGCCTCAACATTTCCGAGTAGAAAGTAGAATTAGTTATTTTAATTTCAGATTTGTTAGGAAATAGCTAGATAAATGGTTTTTTTAGTGTAAAGATTTATTACAGTAGGAGACTAGACTGTTTGAATTATGGTTAAAATAATTTTACTTTGTTTTCAGTGCCAACAGATGAAGAAGATGAAATGGAAACAGAGGAAGTAGCAAATAGACCAAGGAAAAAGCAGAAAACAGAGCAATTGGGACTAACGAGAGTAAGATAAAGCTGGACCAAATACAATTATATTACAATGGATGGGTACCAGCCATAATCTGGCTACTTATCATGTTTGAGCCTACCATTATTGATTACACTTGCTATGGCATCCACCCCAGTCTCTCTGTGACTGTAATTGCAGCTGCCATCTTTGTTTTCCCAGAACTCATTGTCATGATATTTCCATTGTACCTCATTGTGGGTAAGCAAACACAGGCACTGCTACAAACATGGTAGACGCTATGGGCTTTGGGCTTTTAAAACTCTCCCCCTATGAACCAGCAAAGGTATTACACCCAGGTTTTTACATTTTTGGAAAAACAAGGTTGCAGTTGCAGTGCTGGTATCCTAGCAGACAGCAGAGGCTGCACTGACTCTAGAGCTGACTAATGGGAATAAATGGGGAACATACCAGAAACTTGTAGCACAATCCATACACACTGATCTGCATATAAATCCCACTGAATGTGTATGTGATTATAGCTTTCATGGATGTAAATTTGTGTCAGCAAATTTAAAGTGTTTCCAATGACTATGTTTCCTCATCTTTTTCATGTCTAGACTCCTATCGCAACCCTCTCAGGTCACACAGAATCAGTTTCTTCTGTACTTTGGTCAGATACAGATGAAATATGCAGTGCTTCATGGGACCACACAATCAAATTATGGGATGTTGAGACAGGAGGCCTCAGATCAACTTTGGTAAGTGAGTTTGCCATTTAAGTTTGATTGATTCTCAGCTCTTTCAGTTAACTGATGTTACCTTTCTCTTTATTGTTACACAGACTGGAAATAAAGTGTTTAACTCTATATCTTACTCACCACTGTGTCGGCGTCTAGCTTCTGGAAGCACTGACAGGCACATTCGGTTATGGGATCCTCGGACCAAAGGTGAGTAAAGATGAGATATGGTGAGAGAATTTTACATGTTCTTCAATAGCTAAAACATTAATTTAATACATTTCCCTGAGTTGCTCATGCACATTTTGGAAAAAGTGTTCTGATAAGGCTTCCCAGCCCAGAATGATTGATTGCATACTTTTATAACATGAGAACTGCCAGTTTGGCCACAGCTGCATAAATTTCTCACTTCTCTCTGCAGTGGTTGTTCCCTCTCCCATTAGAAATATCAGGTAACAGGTAAATGGAAGGACCCTTCTCTGCTTGAGACACTAGCAAGCCTTTGCCAATAAGAAAAGAGTAAATTCTGAGCTTTGTTGTTGTGTGCCTTCATTTCTGACTTATGGCGACCCTAAGGCAAACCTGTCATGGAATTTTCTTGGCAAGATTTGTTCAAAGGGGGTTTGTCTTTGCTTTCCTCTGAGGCTAAGAAAATGTGACTTCCCCAAAGTCACCTAGTGGCTTTCCATGGCTAAATAGGGATTTGAACCCTGGTCTCCAGAGACTTAGTGTAGTGTTCAAACCACTGTACCATGCTGACTCTCAGAACTGAGCTAAGTGAATAAATAGTCTGACTGGGTTACTGACTATACTGGTTGGAGCACTATGGAAATTCTAGTTCAAAAAATGATTCTATGCCACATCCCTACAAGCTTAAGTTCCCACTACTGGCCTACAAGTGTTCTTTCTTTTAGTATTTACAAACCCTGTTATGCTTTTTTGGGGTTTTTAACCTTTTCATTTCTACTTTCAAAAGAAGCTACCTTATTTTCTAGCGTATAAGACTACTTTTTTCCCCAGGAAAATCTTCTCCAAAGTTGGGGGTCGTCTTATACGCCCGGTGGAGGAGGGCCCGGCGGGAGGCAGGAGGAGGAAATCATGTTAGAGGAGGAGGAGAGGGAGGAAGGGGTGGCGTGGTGTGGCATGAGGCAGGAGGAGGAAGC